TTTGGCTTCTCAGCGTGTCAATAATCTATCGCCTCGAGGTAAACAATGCAATCAAGCATGGCGATTAGGATGCAGACGGCAATACCTGATTATAATTACCGTTTATCCAAGTAACTTTCCTTCGATGCATGCATTATTTTAATATGAATAGAATGCGTAAATACTCCATTTCTTTTTTTTCAAATAGAATTAAAATAAAATTTAATATTGCGCCATGTCTATGTGATTGCAACACTACGATAAGGTTGACGATTGTTTACTTACTAGTAAATACGGGAGTGCTATTGTGTCTCCGTGCTTGACTAATCAAAAAATTAAATATGGTCATGAATTAAAAAAATAATATCATATTTATATATTTTAACGACAAGTGCAAGCGCTAAAATTTATTTGCGCCAATGTATTCCCAATTGCGTTTGCGCTAAAATACGTATGCGCCAAATTTTCTCGTTTTACAGTACATGTACATAGACAGACAGAGATTTGACAGTTGGTATTTTACAAACGATATTTAGAGCGTGAGCGTCGGTCTCTAAGTAATACTACGCAGAGAACTTCCGCTCTACAAAAAAAATGGCGACTTCAACCAGGAAGAAGCAGTCAACACAGGCTGTAAACTGTTGCTTCACCGTCAATGACAGGTCAGACGAAGACAAGGCACGGCCTACCGACATGGAAAATATTTACGAGTACATGATCTTCAGACATAAGCGATTCGAGCAACTAAAGAAGATAGCAAATAGATGGCTCTCGGAACAGGCCAGGGGCAATCCAGAGGACAATAGAGTATACTGTAGCAAAGGTGAGAACGTGATAGAATACGGAACCATAGTCCGTCCAGGTAAACGCAAGCTGGACACCGAGAAGGCCCCCCGAGACATGGCCGATGGCAAAGCATCTATCCGAAGCCTGCTCTTAATTTTAGCATTTGTCATTGTTCCTAACTCTTTCTTCGTAACATGCCTTTGATATACAGTTGTTTGTATTTTTAATTTTAAGCCATTATTTCAAAAATTAACGTTTAATTGAAAGAAACTGAGGTAATCTGTCTAATTCATTATACACGATATTGTTCGAGGTACATGATTTTATACACAAGACTTTCTTACTAAAGTTTCTACGAATTTTTTAACACCTTTGGCCTTGTGAGAACTCTATATTTCAGCTCCATCTGATAAAACAAAACTTAACATTTTGTTTCTATGTTTAGATAGTAATTATTCATTCTTGATTTAATTGCAAAAAATGCTTTTCAACCTTGATCGGCAACATGCTTCTGAGTGATATTGAATTTCATTTTTAATTAAACGGCATACCTAGGTAATTAAATCTATAAACAATTTCCAGTTCTTTACCCTCGTACATAATTTTTTTTGATATCTTTACAATGCCTTGATTTCTTAACACAACATTTTTGGGTTTTTTTTCCAGTGTTAACTTTCAACTTCCATTTTTATATTATATAAAATAGAGAGTCAAACAATTTCTGTAGTACATCATCATCAGAATACATAAGCAAGAACTTGTTTAGTAAATTAAACTCGAAAGATGAACAGTTGTTCCTTATAAAAATGAATTTCACAATCAATAACAAAAAGAGAAAACAACATCACTTTGTAGTTGACCAATTCTATTTTCAGAAAATTCAGATATTACACCATTTGACTTAATACATAGTTTAAAATGGTATATAATGATTTTATTGTTTTTAATAGTTTTCCTTCAATGCCATGTTTTATTAGCTTAACCTAAAGACTTCTCCTTTCTATAATCTATAAGTCTATAAAACAACAGTATAGTCTTCAACCTCTACTACGACTTAGTTGTCTGGTAATCATTGTATGTAAAACAAATATGGTATCAGTTGTTGAGAAATCTGGTTTAAAATCAAACTGTGCATCTCATTATATAGAGTTTTCCAAATCCCAATTTAATAAACGATTATGATGTATAAAGTTTACCTAGGCAACTTGTCATTGTGATACCTCTATAATTATTGGGATCATTGGGGTACCCCTTTTTCAAATACAGGGACAACGTATCCTTAGGTCCACAATTCTGGGAAATTTGTCGTAAGTGTCGAACACAGGTTTATCCTAAGTTGTAAAGGTTCGAGGTTGGCTTGACAAGTATCCAATAGAAGAGAATAAACAAAAAAAAATGAAGACAAATTTAAACGAAGAGGGGCTGGATGTCATACGATAGGTATCCTTGAAGACCGGCGTTAAACAATGCAATCAGATCGGGATTGGCAAATTGTCTATTAAAAGACTTAATTCCCAAATTGTATGGTAACACTTATATTTGCAAGAACTAAAAAAAAATAAAATACAGTCCTGAATTTAAATGAATTTTATTAGAAGTATAAAAACCATGAGCTACGTTTTGACATCGTCAGTGCTGCGCGGACAGGAGATTTGTAAAATTGGTTTATCTCAGGGGAAAATGTCATTCATGGAGATATTTTATAATTTTTTTTACACATTGTTAAAAAAATGTTGACCATGACGTATGTCAAGTTTTAATTCTATAGTATTAGTGATACAAATAATATTTAAAATGTTAGCGTTTTCTGGGACAACCCTCGTATATTATACACTAATATCCAGTGGCTGTGAGTCGGATAGCGAGAGAGAAAAGTTCCTGTCAAGGGTATGATGAAAGAGCTATCCCACTTACAGCTAGTGAATAAGCGTTTTATTATAAAAAACTGATGTATTAGACTTTGGCCTGTGCGTGCAGGGGTTGGCATTGTTTTGAATGCAACCATGTGCATACCGTACATTTACAAAATAGATACATCGACACATTAATATTGTAAGTTAGTTTTGAAATAAACAAATAAACAATTAAGGTGAATATAATTTTTGTTGCAAAATTGTTGCGTAAAGACATAGCACAGAATGGCGTTGGCCTCACCTTTATTTCAAAATTGACATATAAGTATAAGATATAGATATAGATGCCCATTTTGCACCCGCAAGATTGTAAAATCAAAAAAACAATCAAGATGATTTCCGGATTTTTTTGAGGAACTAATGTTGACTACCAATTAGCGAAGCTTAATTAAGAAAAAATAAAAACAAATTTGGTAATCTTCAAGTATATGACACAAAAGACAGTACTCTTCCATTTTCTCGGTATGAAAGCGCAAAAGTTCCAGTCTATCATTCAATACCCCGGGTATAGCAGCGTACACTTGACAAAGATTCTGAGTGTTCCCTTAAATAAACGTATCAATTTAAAAACTACTTTATTGTATAATCGTATGCTATTTTATTACAACACGTGAGTCTTCTCAACAATTGCAGAAAGAAAAGCAAATATCACGGACGTAAACCAACGTTCAGTGACGAAGCTTAAAAACAATAAATCTGTACTTTGCGGTAAGCGTTTTGTTTAATTAGCATCTTTTTGCGATCATTATCAAATCTTAAAAAATTGTTTCACTAAAAACACAAAAGAAGGGAGAGCCCTTGGAATGTTGATATATGGACCATCCTTGCACCATGTTTTATTCACTTTGATTTTAGTGTTTAATTGTCCTTGATATTACTTTCAAAAATTACCATTCAGTATCAAAACCCATTTAAACACATTTTTCTATAGGTTGTGTGTCAATTTCATCGCCAATTTATCACAATTTGAAAGTTCCCAAACCGGAAGTGACCTTGATCTTCGTTGAAGCCAAAAGTTCGCGTCACACCAGGTTAAATAAGTGTAAAATTGTATTGAAACAATCTTAGAAACATGAAAACAAACAATTTCAATCGTATGCAAATGATAAAATCGATGCTCGTGACAGTCTAATATCAGCTCAAGCAGTCTGAATCATCCTCCAATTGGTGCACTTACATGCTAAACGCCCAAGGATATTGAACAAAAGGCCTCTGTGTGATGATGCTATGAAAGTACTACCAGACAAAGTAGGCAGATCATAATATCCTGATAGAAAATGTGAACAATTAAATCTACATGAATATTCACTAAACCTAGAAATTGTCTTGAATCGAATTTCGGTTAGAAACATCTGCATATAGTCCACGTATTATAGTCCTTTTATTAAAGGACAGCAACTTGTTTTTTATGTAAAAATATTTTTTCTAAAAAAAAATCATTTCATCCTCTATTTCATCAATCTATTCACTGGAAGCATCCGCTTTCCCTCGATATTCATTTCAGAACTCTTCTGGTTCAATCCAGAATGTGGCGTAACTCAAATAAAGTCGGCTTTGGTATAAGAGAACACGTATTTACTGACTGTTTGGGCAATTACAAGCTTATCGTCCCCCTCGACAGCAACTGCGCCTCGGGAAATAGTTGCTGCGTTAGGGGACGATATACTATTGTCCTCATAGATAGTAAAGAAGTGTATGCTATACTCCCTGGTTTGAAATTTTCAAACTATGAAATGTAGTTATTTTACATTCTTAACTTTATATTGGAAACATTTTATAGAAGTGTAATAATGTTAACTAGTATAACCAATATTATTATAATATAGTGTAGTCTTTAACGAAATATTTGGAGATAACGAGCAATTATCAACAACTCAAAATTCCACAAAACAATAGAAACTTTTAGTCGAGCAAGCAAGGGCCTCTTCAACATCAGAGGTGAGATCAGGTGCCATGGAGAAGTGGGCATCTCCAGCCGATCGGTCACACCCGCCATTAATTTCTTGTCATGATCGGGAATTAACGAATAAGATCCGTCAACAATTCAATGTTTCAACAATGGCCTATCAATTAGCAGTCAACAATTTATAATTTTTACTCAGTAAACTTGTATATGCTCAATATATTTAATCATGTCTAAATCTAAATGATTGTAAAAATTCATATACATTTGTGAAAAGAAGAAAGTATCAACTGCTTTTCTCAACTACAGGTATATCCTTAAAGACTTCTTTGCTTTTGTGTTTTTTTAGGAAATGTGAATTTTAAATTAATCAAGAACATTAACTGACAATGTGTAATTCAACATTGTTTTTTTTTTAGGATTACTGCAAATGGACTGAAAATCTATCGATTTCAAAATTCCATTTCTAGATACAAAATGCTTCGACATCCTCAAGCTGTTGTCAATACTGCGAGGTAAACTAAGAGGGCATTTCTATGCATGCTTAGTGTACTACAAATTAAAAACAGAAATTAAAAAGTAACGTTTCATTTTCAAAGAAATAAAGACCTTTTTCTTGCTTTTTGTAGATTTACTCTACTAGAAGAAAGTTTTGGTCGCTATAAAACAGATGGGTTGTCCTCCTTACGCTATGTTGGCGTTAAAATTACTGAGTTTAAATTATTCACAAAGATTTCTGTTAGTCTATGATGATTTTTATATTTACTTAAAAATAGATGAATTTGCCAATAAAGTTCGATGCATTTGTGTTAAATATTATGCTCATTCTTTCGAAAAGAAAAAAAAATTGAAGTTCGTGTAATGTATCCCTGCATGAATTTAAGATGAGATACAAACGGTCATAAAATTTATGATTTTCATATTGAATACATTAATTACAAAGTAGGGATATATATATATATATATATATATATATATATATATATATATATATATATATATATATATATATATATATATATATATATATATATATATATATATATATATATCTCCAAAGTGTGTATATAATAAATTATATAATAGTCAGTGTCCGGCAATAAATATTTCAAAAAAGAAGAAAAAACGACAACACAAGTTGTAAAACGTTAGCGCTTTTTTTTAAACGTCAAATGTTTAAAGTAAAACGTCTGAAGAATTTGAATGAAAGCGCTAACGTTTTACAACTTGTGTTGTCGTTTTTTTTTTATATATATATATATATATATATATATATATATATATATATATATATATATATATATATATATATATATATATATATATATATATATATATATAAATCCAAAAAAAAAATAAACAGTGGTCGGTGATCAATATGAAAATTATTTTAAATAAGTAAAAACACAGAGAACGAGTAAAACATAAGCGCTTTCATTTCTTCTTCATGATGTTTTACAATACTCATGGTAACGTCTATTGTGACGTCATAATAACTTAACGTTAACAAGTCTTTGATTGACGTCATATTTTTCCCGTACTTTCACAGAACAATGCATTAACAAAGCATACAATAACAAAGCAATAAATGTGACTCAGTAACATAATTTACATGTAAAGAAACAATTCTTTTACATTAAACTATTTAATTTAGGTTTGAAAGTCCTTATAAAATGTCTTTCTTTATCACGTCTTTCGATTGTGTTAGAGTTGTGCAGTTTATAAAATGGAAAGACAGTAAAAGTTCTATTTCCGCACACGTCTAAGTGTTCACTGACTTTGAGTTTGCGATATTGCGGTACGTTTATTTGTTGTTTGTGTACTCTGATCCTTTCCCGTAAGGTACTTCCCGTCTCGCCGATATATAGTTCCCCGCAACCGGAACATGTTATAACGTATATAACATTTCTAGTTTGACATGACATGTTATTATTAACAGTTAACTGTTTCCCGTTAAAGTTGAAACTTTGTCCTTGTCGTATGTATTGGCAGGTACCACAACGCGGATCCTGGCACTTGGTCACATGAAATTCTGTCGTTTCTTTAAAAGAGGACTTTGTGAGAATTCGTCTGAGGTTCTTCGGCTGCCTCCTACTGTTTATGAATTTCCGATTTTTAAATATTTTAGACATAGTTTCGTCGGTTTTCAAAACGTCGTTGAGTTGGTAAACAATCGGTGCAACGTTTGTATTCTGGGGATTATGGGTCGTTACTAAAGGCAAGATCCTGGAATCCGTCTTGTTTTGTTGCACAGGGTTGAGGAGGTCCTCTCTATCTAAATGCATGGCTTTTTTAATAGCATTATCAATAATTTTTTCGGGATAACTTTGTTTCCGTAGATACTCTTTCAGTTCTTGTAGTCTTTGTATTTTGGTTGTTTCCTTATTTACGATGGTGCATATTCTCCTTGCTAAATTATAAGGGATGGCTCTTTTCGTATGCCGTGGATGGCACGAATTAAAATGAAGATACTGATGCGTGTCTGTTGGCTTGTAATAGATATCTGTTAAAATGACATCGTTTTCCTTAATTACCATGATATCCAGAAATGGAATTCTATCTGTACTTTCCTCCGCTGTAAATCTTATATCAGGATTAAGTTCATTCAGTAATGTTTTAAAGGTAGACAATTCGTTGTCTCTGTATTTCCAAACAATAAAACAGTCGTCCAGATATCTTTTCCAGATGTTAGTAATATAAAGTTTCACCTCTTCGTTGAACTGCTCTTCCACTTTCTTATACATTTTTTCTTCTAAGTATCCTAATGTTAATGTGGCATATGTAGGGGCCATTTTTGTGCCCATAGCCGTTCCTTTTATTTGTTTAAAATGTTTTCCATTAAACGTGAATGTATTATTTGATAGTACTATTTCTGTTGCTTCTGATATAAAATCCTTTGTAAATCTGCCGTTAATTTTTTCGGGATTTTTACTTATCCAGTAATCCACGGCTTCTAGTTCTAGGGAACTTGATATATTGCTGTACAAGTTTATTACATCCAGTGTAACGAGTTTACTGTTATTTTCCACTTTCTCGGGTAAATAACGTAGAAAATCAAAGTCATCTCGTACATAACTTTTGACTCCAGAACATAACGGTTTTAGAAGAATGTCTAGTAGATGACTAAGTCTCTGTGTTGGTGCCGAAATACAAAGACTACAAGAACTGAAAGAGTATCTACGGAAACAAAGTTATCCCGAAAAAATTATTGATAATGCTATTAAAAAAGCCATGGATTTAAACAAAGAGGACCTCCTCAACCCTGTGCAACAAAACAAGACGGATTCCAGGATCTTGCCTTTAGTAACGACCCATAATCCCCAGAATACAAACGTTGCACCGATTGTTTACCAACTCAACGACGTTTTGAAAACCGACGAAACTATGTCTAAAATATTTAAAAATCGGAAATTCATAAACAGTAGGAGGCAGCCGAAGAACCTCAGACGAATTCTCACAAAGTCCTCTTTTAAAGAAACGACAGAATTTCATGTGACCAAGTGCCAGGATCCGCGTTGTGGTACCTGCCCATACATACGACAAGGACAAAGTTTCAACTTTAACGGGAAACAGTTTACTGTTAATAATAACATGTCATGTCAAACTAGAAATGCTATATACGTTATAACATGTTCCGGTTGCGGGGAACTATATATCGGCGAGACGGGAAGTACCTTACGGGAAAGGATCAGAGTACACAAACAACAAATAAACGTACCGCAATATCGCAAACTCAAAGTCAGTGAACACTTAGACGTGTGCGGAAATAGAACTTTTACTGTCTTTCCATTTTATAAACTGCACAACTCTAACACAATCGAAAGACGTGATAAAGAAAGACATTTTATAAGGACTTTCAAACCTAAATCAAATAGTTTAATGTAAAAGAATTGCTTCTTTACATGTAAATTATGTTACTGAGTCACATTTATTGCTTTGTTATTGTATGCTTTGTTAATGTATTGTTCTGTGAAAGTACGGGAAAAATATGACGTCAATCAAAGACTTGTTAACGTTAAGTTATTATGACGTCACAATAGACGTTACCATGAGTATTGTAAAACATCATGAAGAAGAAATGAAAGCGCTTATGTTTTACTCGTTCTCTGTGTTTTTATTTATTTAAAATAATTTTCGTATATATATATATATATATATATATATATATATATATATATATATATATATATATATATATATATATATATATATATATATATATATGGTATCAACGTCTATGAGACCTTAAATCCTATTGACTGTAGACCAGGACAATTATATCTGCTTCCTAAAATACACAAAGAAGACATGCCAGGTCGCCCCATTGTCAGTGCAATTGGACACCCCACGGAGAAAATTTCTGAATTTGCCATCCTATCTCAAGGACACCACGGACTACATTAACAAGACGCCCTCTACTGGCCTCCCAGATCATACCCTCCTCGTGACTATGGACGTCACTTCTTTGTACACCAATATTCCGCACGATGAGGGTATCGAAGCCTGTAGAGAAGTCTGGGATAGTAGATCCATACAAATTCCTTCTACCGAGTCCCTTGCTAATCTCCTTGAACATGTTCTCAAGTTCAACAACTTCATGTTTAATGGAGAACATTACCTGCAGGTTAATGGCACTGCTATGGGTACGAAAATGGCACCGTCTTATGCCAATGTCTTCATGGGCAGACTGGAACGCAACTTGTTACTTCAAGCACCATTTAGGCCCCATAGCTGGTTGCGTTTCATTGACGATATAGAGATGAAGTGGGTGGAATGTTGCGAGAGCCTGGAGGCATTCATTACGTTTGCCAACACCTTTCATCAGTCGATCAAATTTACAGTAGACATATTTAATTCGAAAAACGTATTCCTAGATACTACATCTACCCTGATTGATGGTGAAATCGAATTCAGTCTCCACACCAAACCCACAGACTCCCACCTATATCTTATGCCCACTAGCTGTCATCCCCCACACACTTTTAAGGGAGTGCCTAAGGGTCTAGCCACCAGAATTCGACGCATCTGTTCGTCCCCTGCCTTATATCAGGAGCAAAGTGGTCTTCTTAAGTCCAACTTATGCAAAAGAGGCTACAATGCCCGCACCGTACAAACAGCTATTGATGAGATGGCGGAACCTGACAGGCAAAACCTATTACGCTACAAGGAAAAAGACAATAGCGACAGGGTCCCTCTGGTAACCACATACCATCCCGTCCTTAAGAACCTTAGCGGTATCCTTCAAAAGAACCTACCAATTCTCCATTCAAACAAACGAATGGCAGAGGTCTTTAAGGAACCCCCATTGGCTGCATACAGACGCCCAAGGAACCTAAAGGACATGGTAGTAAGAACCAGACTGGACAACCCATTACCTAACGGGGGCTTTAAAACTTGCTCTGACAGAAGATGTCTTCTTTGTAAGCACAGCACTGACACAGACAGTTTTAACAGCCCTGTTACAGGCCGCAGCTACAAAATACTAGGGAATTTGTCCTGTCATACTGACAACTGCATTTATCTTATCAGTTGCAAAGTTTGCTCCAAACAGTATATTGGTGAAACAGGAGATCTCCGCAGGAGAGTCAATAACCACCGTTCGACCATTAGGACCAAAAAACTCAATGAACCCGTTGGGGAACATTTCAACCTTGAGGGTCACAAATGGGAGGACATGACAGTAGTGGTGATTGACCATAACCCAAGATGGACAGATGCTCAGAGGAAAAGCAAGGAAAAGTTCTGGATGCACAGATTGAAGTCATTCCGCCCTAATGGTATTAACAAACTG